ACAGGTGCACGTCTTTGCGGGTCTTGTGGATGGTACTCGTAACACGATCCGGGAAACAACCAGCGGAAGAGGTGGAGAAGTACAAATATACGTCAAGGCTGTGAGCAACAACGATACAATAACAACACCAAAACAACCAAGAGCGTCCAGCCCACACACCAGACAAGTTAAAAGCAAGACGGGCTTCCAGCCAACACCGTAAACGAGAACGGCCGGCAGAAAAAAACACAAAAACCGGCAGCGAGCGCGCACCGTAGGGCTCCCAGAGGAACCTTGTCGACTGAAGATTCGGGTCTTGGGCTCGACTCTCCAGCACCTGGCGCCGCCACCAACAACAGCAGCAACATCAAGAGCGGTTTCGCATCACAGGAGCCATGTGACCATCGAAGGCGTCCGGGTCAGGTGGACCAGTACATATTTTAGAAGTTACGAGGCGGAGACCGGAACGGACTCAAAACGTCTGGTAAGACAACAACACCAGCAACCAACAACACCAACACCAACAACAACAACAACAAGAGCGGTTTCGCATCGCATATATATTTCGAAGTCCGTGAGGGGTTTCCAAAGTACTCCGAGGCGGTGGATCCGTCCGGGATTTGGGGCACGCAGAGCAGGAACCAAGGAGGCACAGACAGCAAGCCCAAACCGTTGAAACAGCCATAGCTCTCCCCTCCCTCTTCTCTGTCCAGTGATACGAGGACGCACAGCCAAAGGCCTTCTTCTCTCCCTTCTCTCCTCTGTCCAGCGACAAAAGACGCAAACCAAACCGTTTTCGATAATAGTCAAGAGTCTCCGCTCCCCTCCTGTCCAGTGATGCCAGAGGAGGCACAGCAAACCACACCAAAACTCTTGCAATACAGACCGCTGGACCAATATTTTTCACCTACAGTCAACGACCTTCTCTGCCACCGCTTCGCTGCCCAAAACTCTTCGACTTTAGTCAAGAGTATTATCTCGCCCCCCCTCTGCAGTATATAGGGTTCAAGGACTACCTACATGGACCAATGGATGCAGGAACAAAGCTTAAGGTCAAACTCAGGACCGGGAACATAGGCCTTCGAGAACNAGAAGATATCTGTTGCTTGTGCCGAGAGAGAAGAACAGAATCTGAGGAAAGAATCCAAGGATAAGGAGGGTCTAGAAGTGTACGGAATGTTGAAGGAAGGAATAGGGTTCAAGGACTACCTACATGGACCAATGGATGCAGGAACAAAGCTTAAGGTCAAACTCAGGACCGGGAACATAGGCCTTCGAGAACGTCGACGAAGGCATGGGACGGTAGACGACGAGTTCAAATGTGATTGCGGCTTCGAATGCGAAGACCGTGTTCATGTAGTCGCGGAATGTCCGTTGTACA